GTATGTATGTATGTATGTATGTATGTATGTATGTATGTATGTATGTATGTATGTATGTATGTATGTATGTATGTATGTATGTATGTATGTGTTTGAGCGTGCATGCGCACCCGCGCGCACGCGCGGGGGAATTTGTGCAACGGAATTCTAGCAATTTCGATTCGTGTAGTTTTGTACGGTTTCGCTGAGCCACAGCATATATTGTATAGAGTATATATATATATATATATATATATATATATATTATATATATATTATATATTGTTATCGAGCTCGTGCGGTGGTGAAGTTTCACAGACTATACACGGGCACGGCGTTGTATACGTGACGTCTGTACGTCTCTCTGTCCGCTCGCTACCGTGTATATGATGGATCGGGCGAAGGCGTGTGAGTGTGTGTGTGGAGTGTGCCGTATACAATTTAACGCGAGCGGTTTTATGATGCAGGGTTTTGAGGCAGTCATTAACGAGGGTCTGTGGAAAGTGTATTCTCTGCACGATAGCCGTGTGTGTGTATATTCACCGTGTTCAGAGAGAGCCAGACGTTATTAAGCGTCTGCACGCTACTCGGTTAGACCGGCTCCAGGTTTACTATGAGTCATCACGCTGTTATAATCATCAGGTTAGAGTCAGCTATGGTCAGATTAGGGTTATGGTTATGGTTAGGCTTAGGGTTAGGGTTAGGGTTAAGGTTAGACTTAGGGGGACACCTGCTGTAACGGATGTGTGAATAACTAGCGCTGGTGACACCCCTTTACACGATGATGACACTGATGATGACACTGACACGATGATGACACTGTACGGATGATGACACTGTACATAGCGATCGTCTGCTATCATGGTTGTCGTGATGGCCTATCGATTCAGCCACGCGGGAATGTCAGTCTGCGTGTTTCTCTCTCCCTCATCGCCAAACCAATTAAGTAGGTGCATCACAGTCGACGCCGCAGCCTCTTGTGTTCCCATCGCATGCACAGACGACAATGATTGTATATATCTGTCATCTGCATGCTATATCGTTTATGGAGGATGCTTTTATGTGACGGCATATTTCCACGTGAATGATTGCGGGTTGCTAGTTATGATGTCAGCATCATATCCCACGCACGCCCCTCTAGTTATTATAGGTTGCTGTGGTCTGGTCTTCATGTGGAGTATCGCGTTGATGTTACTGCCATATAAAACTGTCAAATAGCTGTCACTTATATATATATACATACTAAATGCGGTGCATCAATGCTCGAACATTTCTACGAAGCCGCGTACGTGTTCGTACTACATTTAAATATTCGACATGTACTGTATTTAAACATGTATATACAGATATCTCATTAGCATTATATGACAGCCACTATTACACTGTAATGGTAAGGAAATACGGGGTGAAAATATCTAATGGTTAAATATCGCATAGCGGGATGAACCGAATCGTTTGGATTTGCAGCAATTTAATAACCAGCTTTATAAAGTCTTCGGCAAAGATTGATTATTATGACATCCCGTGGCTATATCCGTCCTTAATCTCTGATTCATCACACACTAGACGCATATACACGTTTAGAATGGCGGCTTCATCCAGATCAAATACTTTGCGTATATTAATCGGGTTTATTGCACTTTGACCGCGGCAGCAGCAAATTAGAGCTAATATACCGCCGGCGCTTTACAATTTCACTAGTAGGGGGCTATTTTGGGGCTACGTGATTATCGGTAATGTGCCTACAAGTCATTACGCTGCCTTCAGGTTATATACAGCGTGGAATTGCCGAATATTAATCGATACAGGTAATAATTGGTTACTCACACATGCATTCGGTCGAGAGCTTTCGTGATTAAATTCATATTAAACTGTTGGGCCTAAGCGATCGCATAAACCCGTAGGTTTTCCACCAGGCGTATACGTGTTGCCATGGAAATGCTGGGAGGCAGGCATTCGGCGTCGTAATTGCGGGGCACTGCGGCGGCATTGGCGGCACGGTGGCATATAGCGGCGGGTGTTGGATATATACCGCTAGCATGGTCATCACCTATGACGCAGGTGCAGCGGCAGTTATCTATGACGAATCTGCGTCTAGAGCCACTGCAGTGATTGCGCGTGGGTGTGCGTGCGTGGCAGCGTCCGATCTTCTAACGCGGAGGATGACAGACTCGGATAGCGCGTGATAAGTCCAGTACACCGCACGTGTGTGTGTGTGTGTGTGCGTGTGTGTGCGTGTGCGTGTGTGTGCGGCGGGTAAGATCCGTGTTCGTGAAGTCGTCGTCATTCGCTACTGGCCACTGTGTTTCCACGTGATACACGGGGCGCGCGCGTAACGCCTCTCCACGCGCGCTCGTGAGATTTTTACTTCTCTGTCACGCCACCCGGGCGTCTTCTCATCGTCTCGTTCTCCATTTCGCCGCATCATCGCGTGGAAAAAGTTATCTCTCGGCTTTCGCCGGGCCCCTTTTTCGCCGCATCATCTGGTGGACGGATATCTGCTGGTTTTCGTCGGGAACTTCGCAGAGTGTGTTTAATTAATCGCCTACAAATAAACGCAAAACTCTCTGAGAAGGTAATGGCTGGTGACGATAGTGGGACGATACTCGCGCACGAAACCAGGACGTTGCTGTAGCGATAGCCATCTTGTTAGCTGGCTGGATAGCATCAAAGCTTCAAACAGCTCTGCGCTGGCCGAGTGTTGGCTTCTATGATTGGTCGTGCGTGGCCGCAAACAGCATCACATTGCCTTCAAGCACAGCGTCGCTAATTACACAGGAGAAGCCATCGTGAGAGAGAGAGAGAGAGAGAGAGAGAGAGAGAGACTAGCTGGAGGCGTCTACAACACACGACACCTGACTTTCTCCTTCCTTCCCCGTCGAGCGTTCCTCTCGTTCAGAAGACGACAAGGAAGAGGAGCGCTCCTCTCCCGGACGACGACAAGGAAGAGAAGGGTTCCCCTGTCCCAGGCGACGACAAGGAAGAGGAGGGTTCCTCTCTCCCAGACGACGACAAGGAAGAGGAGGGTTCCTCTCTCCCTGACGACGGTAAGGAAGAGGAGGGTTCCCCTCTCCCAGGCGACGACAAGGAAGAGGAGGGTTCCCCTCTCCCAGGCGACGACAAGGAAGAGGAGGGTTCCCCTCTCCCAGGCGACGATAAGGAAGAGGAGGGTTCCTCTCTCCCAGACGACGATAAGGAAGAGGAGGGTTCCTCTCTCCCGGGCGACGATAAGGAAGAGAAGGGTTCCTCTCTCCCGGGCGGCGACAAGGAAGAGGAGGGTTCCTCTCTCCCGGACGGCGACAAGGAAGAGGAGGGTTCCTCTCTCCCGGACCGCTCTCATATATGATGGTAATGAGCGAGAAGAGGAAGAAATACAGCTTCACGAGTCTATCGTTCAGCCGCAGCCGAGACGATGATGTTGCGAAGGAGAAGGAAGCCTTGGAGGACTGTGAGGGAGAGACGACTACCGATACTGCTCGGGGACGCCAGCAAGGATGGAGGGGACGCATGCAGGAGATGTCCGATAGGTTTTCGCGGGTCAAACAAAGAAACGATGGCTACTGCGCTTGCGTAGCATACCGACTTACAGAGATCACCGACAGCGAATGGCCCGCGGATCAGGGTACCGCCAAAGATGTAAGTCACACCTGGGCAGATATACTTCACTCATTGCCGCATGCAGTTACTAAACTATACGGGGGACGTTTATCTCCGCTTCTGGGAATATAAACACTGATATTCCCTTCTGGAATTATCATTCTACGGCGCATAGCACTTCGGATGCAACTACTTTACGTTGATGTCTGTGGGACACGTCTCCGTGGCCAGGAAAGCAGTTCTCTTAAGCTAGCAGCACACTTCACCATTTTCGTTGCTCGTGTGCGGGGGCCGGCAACGACCACTCACCACGGAAATTTAGTGGTGACCACGAGTTGCCGAAAATCAAACCGGTTTAATTTCTCACCACGAAAATTGCTCGTGATGGCAACTTGTGGTGAAGTGTGCTGTGACGCGGCAACGGCCACAAAAATTGCCGACCACAAAAATTGCCTGTACGAGCAACGAAAATGGTGAAGTGTGCTGCTAGCTTTAGCTGGGTGACAGCCTATCTTATCACCCGTCGTTATATAGTGGGAACGAGATGCGAAGGGATTGTGAGCGGATTGTGGTGACACGTACTATTAGAGATTATGAATGCATTGTCTAACTTCATTAGCCGCGATAGATTGTTCCCTGGTTTCCTACTCGTAATTTCTTAATCGCCCCACGCCTTCATTCCCGAAATGAAATTTAATTTTTTTTTTTATTAAAAGAAATTATGTAAAAGGGGAAAAACGTTTTAAAATCGTTAAGAATTTTTATAAGGCTTGGCTCTCGCAACCCTTCCAGTCACTCTACTGTACGCGTATCGATTCATCCACATTCAAATTAATGTGTAATTTCTATCGCGGTCATTGCGTTGAATAGCCACAGCGTAAAGCTAAGTCACACCTAATTAACCAGCACGATATATCACCTATGTGACTCCCAGTGTGTGAGCCATGAAGAGTGGAGCTATAATTCCATGCTGGTAATGACTTAGGAGTATGATCCCACCCGCGTTGCCCTCGTTATAACGACCCACAGGATTAGGATAACTTGATCTATACACTCGTTATTATACTAACGGGAAATTCCGTCAGAAGCACCAAATCGCGAGTTCTTGCTATGACAAGATCAATCGCGTTAGTGAGGTATTCGAAATATGTCTACAACAAATTCTTTCAATCAATTTTTTACTTCTGTAATTCTAACTGTGTGTATAATATGTAACTTCGGTATATTTTTTACTCAGTATATGTGTGTAACTTTAGAAAGAGAACTATTCCTTCTATTTACAACAGTACGGCTAGTAGACACATGATGCACAGTAAGTTATTTATTGGTGCTGTTCGCATGGGCGGCGCTATTTCAACATTTGCGGTGAAACGGAACTGCTCGGATCGGCCAGTCCGGTTCGGCAAAGTCGGATCCCTACGCATTCTTCCCATGAAATCGAAAATTTCGTTTTTGGCTTTATCGAAATGAATCGGAAAGTAACTAAATTTCCTATTTCTCACGCGGAATCACAGCAAGCAAATATATCTTCCAATAATAAATAGTTCTACATACTATCACTATGTAACAACTACAAATGTATATTATACAAAAGATATTGCTAATCGTAGGCAAAATAATTTGACATGGTTGTAATTTTCGCTTGTATATTCGTCAGTGTACATGCAAGTGCAGGAAATACTTGATGAACGCGTGAAAATGCGACCCAACCGCTTTAATATGTCATAATTATGACAATTGACAGATTTCAAATTAGAAAATAAACACTAAGCAAGCATAACCAAACAGAAACGAGATAACAGAAGTAATAGGAAGCGAAATGGGCGCAAAACAAGCGAACACACATCGCTATCCTGAACTGCACGAATGGCTTCTGCTATTTAGTTCAGCAAACGTGAGCAAAGACGCTTATATTAATTAATTATTTATGTATTTATTTATTAGTAAGCGTCCTGCTTAGGGAAGGGACATAACACAACGACTATATCCGTGAAACGCCAAGATGCTGCTACATCAAAAGCACGACCCGATGAACCTATGCAAGTATATGCGGAAACCTATGAACTATGACTATGCAAAAGCCCGGATGCAAAATAGATAGCGTGTTTTTAGGTAGGAATCGCCTGACTAGTGAATGAATGAATCATCACAGGGGAACGCACGGGGTGGATTTTCCTGCCACCGCATTTTCTTCACTATTATTTCATATACGATATCGTTACAGATTAAAATGATATTTGTTGTAACAA